TGATACAAGGTAAGACCGTTTGTCCCTAATCTCACGAGGAAAGTCCCTATGTATAATGTACCCAGTTCCACTCAGTCTCCTAGTCTGGCTGAGGATGTATGTAATGTCGGAATCTTCAGGAATATGAGCTATGAGTGCCTTGCTATCTTTTCCCAAAGGGTGGGCCCTGTTGACCCACACCCTATCTATCCCCAAAACATCTTTACAAAAATCTCTGATTATCTCCCGAAAGTCCGGATTTTTCCCTCTCCACTGCAATCCCTTGAATGGGACACATACACGTGTCTATACTCGACCGTACGGACCACGTTGAGCGGACGAGGTAACTCACGATACTGACGTAAACCGGTATGGTTACTGATAAAATGGAGTTAATATTTACCGTCCTTAAACTTAGTCCTGAGTCCTTATCACCACTAAGATAACCACCATTCGCTAGAAAACTCGCGAAATTTAATTAAATCTCGGAGCTGATGCAAACCCCTACTGTCTGCAACCGTACCAGTGGTGCCAACCCACAATACGGATTGTATAATGTAGTTGAAATTAAAATGAGTAATATTTGCTTAAATCCCATGAAAAATTGTATGTGAGTTATAAAATAAAATTGAGAATGAAAAAAGATATATAGTGATTGTACTGAAGATAGGAATGCAATGTTTTTTTTTTATAATAATCAAAAATATGATGTAAATAAACATTAAATTAAATAACTTTCAGTTGTCAAGAAATTGGGATGGGAAAGAAAAATAGGAAATTGTTATCAGAACAAAGAAGAAATAAAATTATAATATATTGAAATCAATTTTGAATGAAAATATGGAAAAGTGATGAACTAGTACGCAACAAATTGTATTCTAAATTATTAAGAGAAAGAGTCAAGAACAAAACTCCCCGATAGAAAAGAAAGCTGATTGGATTAGAAATGCTTTTGCCAAATTTAAAAAACTGTTTGTATTATTTCTTTCTTTTTTGATATTTTGTGGCAAAAGATCAAAATATTTGTTTCCTTCATAGGTAATTATTTTTTAAAAAAGCTCTAATTTATGATTTTCAACCAATCGATGGGGTCTTGTATTATAGCTATGGACAGTATTACCAAATGTTAGTTTATTGTTAGATACTACAAATTGTATTGTTTCAAAAATAAAGAGGCTGTAAACTGTAAATATTTTCAATTTGGAAAAATCATTTTTAACTACATCAGATTTTTTTTTTAGATTCAAAATTACCGTTAATGCCCTTTTCTGTTGGAGTAATATTCTATCCATGTTTAATTTAGAGGTTGACCCATAGATGCAGATACCATAAGACACATGTGAATGGATTAAGGCAAAATATATTGTTTTTAAAGTTTCAATATTGCAAGAGGTTGCCATTTTCCGAAGAGCGTACAAACCACTTGTTGTTTTTTTAACTACAAGATTTACATGGCCGTTCCACGTTGAATTTCATCAATACGTAATCCCAAAAAAGTTGTTTTCTCTAATTGATCTATTAAGTTTTCTTCAATGAATATTGTGGGATTTAATTTTTGCTTAGTCCGTTTGGTTGTAAATGTTACAAAATTAGATTTTTGTGAATTCAGCAGAAGGTTTTTACTATAAAAAAGTCTTTAATCATTGATAAGTTAATATGAGATGCAATTTCTAGGTTTTCTTTACTATTGGCAGTTACAATCATGTTAGTGTCATCGGCATAGAGACAAATTTTATTGTTCTTGTCCCATATCACCCCTGGGCCCTGTTTCATAAAACTACTAGTCTAGTATTTACTAGTCCATGGACTAGTAATACTAGTGTATTTTACAAGTCTACGTTTCAAAAACCTACTAGTGTAAAATACTAGTTACTAGTGTAGGGACTAGTATTACTAGTGGTTTTTACTAGTGTAGATAGCAATGTGTTTCATAAAGTTTTACTCTTGTAAATTACACTAGTAAATACTTGCTATTTTCTACCAACCTCTCTTCACCCGTATTATTTGAAGTAGACTAGTATTTTTGAAAAGAGATTTATTTCATTACTCACATCATTAAACAAATGAAATATTAAGTTCTTTTTGCAAGTGCAAATTGGCTCACGTTTGCAATTTAAAATAAAAATAGATCTGTGAGTGCTAAAATAATAATTATTAGATATAAATTACAATCAATAGATGTGGCGTAGTACAAAATGAGAGAAATAGAATTTTGTAATGTCTATACAATCGCCCTATTAGAATTAATTATTATTATAAGTTATCAATTTTAGTCTAATTTTACACTTGAGTTAAATTTAATGGTTATATCAACTATTTAGCCATCACAGAGAAATTATTTTTAAGCTTTGAGAGAAACCAAATTAAAACCGCATACCGTATTGCATACAAAGATGTAACAAATGTATCCAACATTGCAACATTAATCAGATTATTTTACACCCAAGGCTCTCGGTTTTATTTAAAGACATTTTAATAGGAAATAATAGTAAGACAATTTTAAAGAGGAGTTGCATTGTATTTATTTATTGAGGTGCTTGTTATTTGCTTCCCTAAATAGCTGAAACCCTGTGATATACTAACAATTTTTGGGCGTTGAACTGAACTGCTTATCATAAAAACATTACTTTTAATCCATTTTGGTATTCTGGATTTGTTATTCAAAGTAATAAAAAAAATTTATGTTGATTAGAGCTGTTAAAAACATGGAAAAGTATAATTAATGGAATTAAAAGTATAGTGAGTGGCATAGATTTGAACCAGGGACCCGCCACATGACTAGCGAGAACTCTAACTCTGAGCTACGCCCTGCCCTAGCGACTACGCAATGTTTTGCTATACTTGAAAACCTACTCCATTGCTTGTAACTTTGCAATTATTTGTTACATCAAGAAACGTTTAGGCTTATTATTCATGGTTTGTAGACTCAAAATAAGAATATTACCAAATGGCGTTTAATAATTCAAATATCCTTATGCATTCGAATAATTGAAATCATAGGTAAGGGTACTTGAAACCGTTCCAATAAACAAAATGTCCTTAGACGATTTAATTACATTCAAAATTGAGCCTTCTTTTCTTTACTCATAGCAAGCTTAGTATTATATGTCAGAATAAAACAAAAACTATACAAATCACAGCGAATGCGGCAGCAACAGATCAACTTCCACCTAACTGTTGAGCGCCGCAACTAGGCCTACAACCGGCTACTACAATCACCGTGTTGATTGCAGCGACGCGACGCCGCGCCGCGCCGGCGGGCTCATTGATGAACATTAATAATAGCGGTTTGATAAATAATGTGTGATTGTTTTACTTATGTGTCTATATAGTTATTAATTAAAAGAAAACACTGCGTTTCTACAACTATTTACTTTTTGTATCAAATGAAAACAAAATTAAAACCATTTATAAAGGGTTTGAAAACCCGTGATTGAGGTTAGAAATTTGTTTTGAAAATTTACCTTGTAAAGTTGATCACGTAACTAGTAGTTTTGGTCACGTGACTAGTAAAATACACTAGTATTTACTAGCGGTATAAAAACGTTTATGAAACACAAATTAGTAGGACAGGTAAATACGGGACTAGTATTTACTAGACTAGTAATTACTAGACTAGTATCTTTATGAAACAGGGCCCAGGTAGACCCTTCAGGTAACAGAGGAATAACAAGGGACCTAGAATTGATCCCTGGGGGACTCCATATTGTATGTTTAGCAAGCTCGAACTATATGTCTCCTTATATATAGGTTTTGAATTATTAAAATAATGACTTATTTCTACAAACTGTTTCCTATCTGAAATGTAAGATTTAAACCATGCCAATTCTGTACCTTTAACTCCAAGAGAGCTTAGTGTATTTATGAGAGTACTGTGGTCTACAGTGTCAAAGGCTCTAGACAGGTCCAAAAAGATACCAATGACTTTTTCACCTTTATCAATCGAATTTATGATTGACTCAATAAATTCCACACCTGCTGTTATGGTGGACTTCTTTTGTCTGAAACCATGCTGCTGCTAATCTAAGGGGCAATTTATTTCAAGGTGATCTAAAAGTTGGTTGTACACAATCTTCTCTAAAATCTTTGAAAATACAGGAAGCAATGATACAGGCCTATAGCATCTGACATCCTCGGGGTCCTCCTTTTTAAAAATGGGGATTACTTTTGCCACTTAAACTGGTCTGGAAAAATACCTGACATTAATGAGTGATTAATAATATGAGTCAAAGGAATGGATATGAATTGCCATGATGCCTTAACTATTGTGATAGGAATATCATCATTCCCGGTGGAAAGCTTATTTTGCAGTGATGATAATATTTTTCCTACATCATTTTCTGTTACTGTTTTAAATTTAAATGTGATTTTGGAAAACTCATTGGTCGGATTGCAAGTGGTTGTTAAGTGATTTGATTTTATGTTGGTTATAATTAATTCTTTAACAGCATTCACAAAGAAGTTATTAAATGTTTCACAAATCATAACTGGTTCTGTAATATATTTATTTTTATAAAATATTTTAAGGTCTTTATTTATCTTAGAAGGTTTGCATGTTTCTGCATTTACCAGATTCCAAGTAGTTTTAATTTTATTTTTTGAGCTCATGACTTTTCTCTCAAAATATCTCTTTTTATTGTTTATAATCTGATGTTTGAGATCCTTTTTCTTGTTTTTGATTACTAATTTTTGATTTATATCTTTATGTGTTCTAAACTGTGCTTCTAGCTTAACAATTTCAGATTGCTTTGTTCTCAACACTTCATCAATCCATTTATTAGCCTTATATTGTTTTTCAGTAACATATTGCTTTGGAAAGTGAACATCAAAATAGTATTTAAAAATAGTATAAAAACTATAATACTTAGTAAAGACAGTAGATTGGAAAACAGCAGACCAAGACTCAGAACTTAAACTTTTACAAAAAGAATGTATAGGTCTTTAGTTATCCATGTGTAACTAGACTAATTATTACCACATTACTTTGTCTCGATTTTCAATAACTGTTCTGTTGTATACAGATAAGAGAGAATGACTTCTTGACATTTGACGCCATGAGACATGCGGCTCAGTGCGTTGGGAGAGCTTTGAGAGGCAAGACTGACTACGGTATCATGATATTTGCTGATAAGGTGGGTCTAGCAAGTAGAATTATACTATTAGGTTCTTCTGAAAAAGATGGGGAAACATCTACTTGAATTTTTTGTAAACTGTTTTTTGCCATTAATTGCCTCAAAATATATTTTTTTTTAGTTTAATCGTGTCTCAATTCTTTCTTCTGTTGCAAAATCCACACCAAGTGTTTTTCTTCCAAAAAAAAATACCTTGCTTTGTTTGTATCGAAAGTTATTTTATTAATTCTACAGTTTTCATCGCACAAATAATGAAGTACTCACTGTAATGGGCAGTAGAAGTTTCACCTTAAAAATATTCAAACCCGTTTTTAAGAAGTTTTAAAAGTTCTACGGTATTATAGTATAACAATTAATGCAATGACATGTATCTTGCAGAGATTTTCAAGGTCAGACAAACGGAGTAAGCTACCCAAGTGGATTCAGGAACATCTGAAAGACTCGTTGTGTAACCTGTCAACTGAAGAGGCTGTGCAGGTGAGAGATAGCCTACCTATGTTACATTTTTCCTGTGAATTTTACAGTTATTTTCTTCTAAAAAAGCTGAACAGAGCAATAAATACAAAATATCTTAAACTGATTCAATTTTTTCCTTGGTTCTTTTATCCAAAACCGTCGCATACTTTCTTCCCTTTCGAAATATCATATACTGTACACATTTTTTACTATTGGAAAAGAACTTTTTTCACACTACCATACATACTTATCTCAAAAAATGTAATATGCTATAATGATTATCTCTAAATAGTAAATAGTCCCATTGCTATTATTTGGAACCTGTATCAATTTGTTTGGTTGTTTTGTACAGTCTGATCTTAATTTTGCCAGTCCAACCCGTTTGGTAATTTGACAAGCTCATATAGTTATAGTTTAGATAACGTAGACACTGGACTTGCCGCTAGGAAGAAAAATGTTTAAATGTACAGTGCAGTGGTAAAAGTAGAGTATTTTTACATGTCATATTATTTTTTATATCTCGTGAGTTGATTGTTTCTTCATCCAGATGCAGTACCTCACACTGACATTTAGAGGGTGAAAGTAAAAGCAAAATAAGGTAATAAATCACGTTTTAAATCAAAATAATGCTTTGGATTTAAAAAATTTAAGTTTCATCAAAACCCAACATTACTTTCCTTTCCATGTCCACAGATTGCCAAACGATGGCTACGTCAAATGGCTCAGCCTTTCAGTAGAGAAGACCAACTTGGCGTGTCGCTGCTTACACTTGAACAGCTTGAGAAGGAAGACTTGGAACGGAAAAACCGAAGAGTCGACACTATCGAGAGAACAACTGTTGAAAGGATGGTCATCGATGATTGAATCAGTTCAATTGAATATTAGCAGATAACAGTTTATAAGGAACTTGCTTTACATAATCAAGTTTGACTTTTTTTGTTCGACGAGATTCCAAGTTAATTTGTATGTGAAAGCATAATTAACTCCCTAATACTTTGGGAGTTTAATTCTTACCTAAGATTCTAAACCATTTAATTAATTAATTATTAATTGATTAAATACCATTATTTAATTCTTAACCAGTAGAAATATTGGCTGTGGAAAGTATGAGTTTGTAGATCTACATACTTAATAAAAAGACTAAAACTAAAGTTATACGTCACTCAGATAAATAATCTTTTAACAACTTTAATTTTTAATTTTTAATAAAATCAGAGTCAGTTCTCGTTAAACAATTTATTTTAGAACAATCCAAAAGTGAATTGGTCTAAATCATTGATAGGTAATAGGTATATAAATCATTTTGGATTTAAATTAATGAAACAATCATTATCATTTTTAACCCATTTTTCTTATTTTTTAATCAAAATGAATTGCTTTATAATTAATTATTGATAATGATTGAATGTGTTTTTAAGATGTATATAGGTAGGTAGTCTGTTTCTCCAAGTATTGTTTAATAAAAAGGTCTTTTTACGTGTCATAACATTATTTCTCATTCCTCCATTTTTAAGTAAAAAGGCTCGTGATTAGCTGTATCATGTTCATGATAATATTATAATTGAATCTAAAAAAATATATATGCGAGTCCAATTGCATTAACTTCTACAAAGAGTGTTCTACTGTCAAAATATTTTCTCTTGGATTTTGATATCAAGACAAGTTAAATAAGTGGTTTAGCACAAAATACATTACCAAAAGAAATAATCTGTGATAAATTTTAAGCAAGAATGGTCATCTTCATAACCTTGCCAAAGTGAACAGTTACAGAGTTAACAGAAAGGTTAAAAACAGACATTTTTAACAGTTAATTAAAAATATAACCTAAATGACTATCGTTATACAGAAATTATTTTTTCCTTCAGTTACAATACCTAACAATGTACTCATGTTCTCTCACTGATTTGAGAAAGTAAAGTGGCCAATTTGCTCATCAGTGAGACGATGTTAACATTGTCTCACTCGCTCCAGATTTGCTACGTGAGACACGAAATAACATGCAGACAAGGTTGTATGCGCGCGAAATACGTTGGCAGCACTGGCTGTAAATCAGCTGGTCAGCTGTTGTACTGTTGTATCATTAAATGTCATTTTAAAAGTTCACTTCTGCGTCCTCACTCACCTACGGCTCATGAGTAAGTATTTCTCTCGAGTGAGTCAATTGCTCCCTTTGCTCACTAGTTGCACAAATAACTATTAACATATTTTTGTTTTGTAAAGGCAACTTGTATTTTAGTAGCCTATGGACAGTATCTTATAAACCCTTAAAGGGAATACCTACCACCTCGCAGGCCTATCCCGCTTCTCAATAGGCGTGGTTTAACAACCAATGTCTGGTACACTGCTGCACTTTACCCAAAATCTACCCTTTCACCATGGTTCCAAGGGTGCTTTTTCTTACCTCAATCAAAGAAGGGATGTATAGCGGAGTCAGACTGCCCGTACTGCCTAGAGGGAGTCGCCATTGTAGATCCTAAAGCAATATGATGCTTTCTCTGGTGTCAGAATTCCTCTTAAACCAACAAATTAATAACTAAAATAATGCCCTGCTGCATTTTTAGACCACATTATTTGCGTTAATTATTGGTATCCTATACCATACTCTTTGGTATGAGACGCACAATTGTTTGAAGTACTTAAGAGCTCTAGTGAGATTAAAATAGCCCTGGGTGTCCATTCAAGTTTGAGTGGGATTGAAATAAAAAACTAGCTTGAATGTAAGGAATGTACAGTTTTTTCTATTGCAACTTTACATCAACAATAATACATTCACAAATCAGAAAACAGATTTGTTTTTCTCAAAAATTATAAACAGGTAGAATATCAAATTTTAAAATCAGTCATGTTGATTTTTACACCTCTTAATCATCTGCGTCTTCAAACTGTCCGTCATCTTCCATTTCTTCATCCGGGTTGATTCGGAGGCCATTCATTGCTCCTAACTCATTCAATCTGTTGTTAATTAAATCTGAAAGAAAGAAGAGCATCAATGAATGGCAGACTTATTCTGGTAATTAAATATATTTAACAAAGGAGCTCTTTAATTAGAAGACTACCTCTTTGTGGGTTATTTGGAGGGCCACCTTTTTACACTGAAATGTTGACGGTCCAGCCCTCCGGGCCTCTCCTCCAAAAGTTGTCATTGTGGCCCTTGAGTAAAAAAGGTCGGAGACCCCTGTTCTAATGGAAACAAGCAGCTGTTTAGTAAGTGATTCAATCGTTTCGTCTATTGCGATTAGAGGTGTGCGGATATCAGAAAAAAGGGGTCAGATTCGGTTCGGTTCGGATATCCGTATCCGAACCGAGCCTAAATTTGATATCCCACACTATCCGTTATATATCCGACTTTTTTGGATAGACAACATATTTTGACGTTTTGGCCAGAAAACTAAATCTCCATAACCATCATTAGTTTCCCAGGACAAAATTACAGCAATACGTTTCCAACGACAACGTAACAGCAAAGGACAAAGAAGCCGTATGATGCAATACCGATGTCTAGTTTATAGTCGTTATCGGCTGTTTTGTTTTACGATTAGTTTCGTCTGGAACGAACAGACAAGCAGAAAAGAACTACCATGGTTAACTCGTGCTTGTCTCCTGATACTAGGGGCGCTATGCAAAATAGTTTTTTTTTACAGTACTGTTTTAAAGTATAAAAATCTAGCCTTCTTCTGTGCTGTTACGTAAACAATATATTTAATGTTTCCCGAAAAAAGTTAGAATAGAAACAATAGAAAGGTGTTGGCATTGAAATCCCAACAAATGTTAATCACTAGAAGCCGTTAGAACATCTGCTTCACAGATGCTACGATAATCACAATATCTATTCACTAACGTAAATTCCTAAATAAAGATTATTGTAACCGTGACGACAGAGGGAAGGGTGCACGCGACCTAGGGCATTCACTAGTAGGCTGACATCTGCCTACCCTAGTTGGGGTAGGTCACGACAACCCTAATATGGACCCCAGTCCATTCATAACCTCCCGTTGGGGTTCACCCTTCGGGCACAGTTGTAAAGCACCTCCCCCTTGTCATTGTAGTCCCTACGCCATTCACTAAGCCTCCCCCATTCAGACTAGGGTAACTACCCTTACTACAATAGTCTAACGGTCCGGTATGAAACATTATATTATTCTCTATAACTTTCCTTTGAATCATCGTGGTTTCCAATTGATCTATTCATAGGCCCAATGTGGCTTGCGGTTGGGGGATGGCCACTGACGCTACTCGCGGTTTATATAAAAGGGGCTCCTAGCCCGGTGGTTGTCATTCCACTCGTACATCGCATCGGTGACATGCTGCCCGTCCTAGGTGAGTCTCTCATTATCTCGTGGTAGCTCTCTCTCTCTCTCATTATAACATCTCCGTTTCAGTATTAATTATGTTAGAGTCCCCTAGTCATTCATTGTAATTATCTATCTATATTATATTCTATCTTGTTTGTAATGTCATAACCTACTGCTGTCATAAATAAATAATGTTCTTAGCATACTCCTCCAGTGTAGTTATTGTTCCAAGCTCCCAGTTGCTTGTAGCCCTTCTGGCTAACTAAGCGACATACAACATTGGTGTCAGGTGTAAAAATAAATTTTAATTGAAGAGGAGTATGTCTTAAATCTAAAAAGGTGAACCAGGCGATACTTCTATTTAGATACCGTAGATGTATAATTGTGAAGACATAGATTTTTGTTTGTTGTTATTTTTTATTCATGTGTGTATTTGGTTGATCATATTGTTACATATTTAAATGAGGCAGTATTAACATGGAATTTAACAGTATTAATTATTAGCCATGGCATTATGCTACCAGTTATGTAAGCAGGAAATTTTCAATAGATTCTATACCAGGGTTGCCGAGTGTGGGCATAAAGTTTTAGTATACACGATAACAGAAGATAGAGTAAAGGGGACTAGCGAGGTGAGGTGTGAAAAGCTTGTTGGGGGTCTGGATCTTTTTGAAGAACAGAGTGTTGTTTCGGCGGATAAACCGATTTTAAGTTACCAGCACTTCTTGAAATACTCGATTGATTCGTTCACGAGCAAAGGGGAATTTATTTTGCATGTCGATATAAGGCCTTCCTTTATGATTATCGTAGTGAGCAGCTCCTTGTAAGCATAGATGTGGGATGGTCCAGGGCAGCCTGAGGAACCTGATATCGTTGACGTAATCAAAGAGTTTTTGGAAGAATTAAAGAAAGCGGTGCCTGTTGAAGTGTACAATCACTTAGTATACGTCATATTAATGCCACATTTTCATAGGATGATAGTGAACTGGCCAGTATAGATATATTGTTATCAGCAGTGGTGCGATAGCCTTATCAGTGGCATTCGGCTTTAATTAAATTCTTGTGGGGCGCGCTGGGTAACAAGGGATCAAGGACTGGGTCAGGTGACAATTTTATGGACCCAGGGGGAATTCGGAAATTTAACACAGCACCTGGGGAGCCGTTGAGCGCAGGGGGATACACCACCACATTATTTACTAAAATCGGAACGCGGTCGGCGGTTATCACTGCATACTACGAACACGTGCCGACAGCAGAAAACACAGTAGGGAAACGTGAACCACAAAAGGGAGCATTGTCCAAAGCGATACGACCAAAGTTGCCGTTACCTGAGCTTCCCGAGGAGCATATATACGAAACACCGAAGCACATATGAGTAACAGGGACGCCAAATTTTATTTACCCGTCTATGACCCGGATGTCATTTTGGAAGGGTGTGAAGCGTTATTAAAATCACTGGTTGAAAGGATAATCGAGAAATATATTAACGACGGTCGGACGACGTACACTAATGAGACGAACGTGAGACGAGTAAAAGTAAATAAAATAGTAATTGAGTTTCATTAAATTATTTGTTTTTAGCAAAGTGGGTTAGTATATTAATAGATTCTAATCATTAAATTCAATAGAGTGAGTCGTGACAATGGTATCGTGGAATTTTATAAAAGGGGTTTTTGTTGGTATCGGTACGTGTGTAGTGGGTGGAATTGTGTTTGTGTATTTTACCTGGGACATGGGTGCGTCGGCTATGTGTTACCTTAGGCACTCATTGTCGGTGTATTGAAAAAGCACATTTTCTTTGGTGTTTGTGGTTTTAGATATTGAAGATAAGTAAAGGTTGTTAGTTGGAGATAAAGTAAAATAAATTAATAGTAAATTAAATTAAATTAAATCATGGCCGTGTCACAAACTGCGTTCGAGTCCCTAAAAGGGGAGCTCGATCAGTTGAAATTGTATTTAGCGGAGAAGAAGAAGACGGAGGGGGTTCCGGCAGTTAACACGATGAATGTGGCTGCGGCGGCTCTGGTGGACGTGTTTCGGGGGGATGGTACGTCGCCCTCCGTAAGGGAATTTTTCCAGCAGATTAATCAAGCGGCGCTGTTGGGGAAATGGTCTGAGGACGACAAATCACGTGTTGTAGTTCTGAAGTCGAAAGGACCAGCAGCCACGTTTTTGTCCACAAGATTTGACTTATCGCGTTCGCTGAAGTACGCTGAACTAGAAAGCGCGTTCATGGACCGCTTTCTAGGGAAGCACACTGATCAATTCAATTACATGAACTTACAAAACGCGCAACAGAAGCGTGGGGAGTCGGTAGCCCAGTTTTCGGAAAGAATCCGACAACTAGGGGCCCTTACCGTGCGTCAGACAGGGGACGAGGCGTCACAGAAAATTGTCGAGGAAGAGGCGGAGAGGCGCATGCTCGCGTCATTTTTACATGGGCTCCAGGGCAAGCCTGGGGAGGTCACGCGGTTCCGGTTCCCAACTAAGTGGGAGGACGCGGTGCAGTGGGCAACGCTTGTGGAGGCGGAAGAGGCGTCCAAACCCTCGGAGACGGCGGCGTCGGTGTTCCAGCTCACGTGCTGGAATTGCAATCGTGAGGGACATAGGGAGGCGGACTGCCGAAGTCGTGGTCGAGGTCCGAGGGTCGATGACCGTGGAAGGGGCCGAGTAGCTGGTCGTGGTTATAGCTCGGACAGGTTCTCGCGAGGGGTCTCCCCTGGTGCTGGTAGGGGAAATTTTACAGGAGATAATCGGAGTATTGATCGGCGCCGTGACGGCACGGGCCGAATGAACAATAGAAGCGGTAGTTTTGATAGGGGTTCAAGTAGTCGGGAGCCTAGCCCTGCCAGTCGAGGGGTGGATAACAATAGGAGGGTGAGGTTCAACCTGTCGGACGCCCAAAGGAATGCGGCGGTGATGTCAGGGGTTGTTTGCTACAGGTGTGAACGTAGGGGTCACTATGCAAGGGACTGTAGGGTGGATCAAGGGAAGGTAGGAGTGGTAAGGAGTGATTCACCCCGTCGAAATGGGCCTTTAAACTTCAGGGGTCCGACAGGAAATCAATAAGTAACCCGACTGTTGGACCGTCTGCCGCGCGAGATGAAGTAGTTCCTGGTATCAGGGTAACAGCAGGTGTGGACCTTACATTAGTGGGGTCAATTGAGGGGAGCTTATTTACATTTTTAGTCGATACCGGGGCACTTATTTCGTTATTTAAGGGTGAAGTGGAGAACTGTAATGTGAGAAAGTCTACTGTAGCAGCGATGGGTGTTACAGGAGATAGATTGAATATTAAAGGGGTAACTAATTTTGATGTAGATATTGCAGGGGAGATATTTAATTTGGAATTTCATTTGTGTGACCTAGATCTACCATATCATGGAATTTTGGGGCTAGATTCGTTGAGAAAATTAGGAGTGGTGATAGATCTGTCGATTGATGAGATAAGGCTGGCCGCTCTCCAGATGACGGGGGTGCGGGATGCCGGTACCGCCCCCTCCAGTAATGCCACCCTTGGGGGAGTAGCTAACCCGCAAGGGGGGTGTGAGGAGCAGGGGCCTCATGGCGTGGAGGAGATGGAAGTCACTCAGGCGTTGAGTTCCTGCTCCAAGGAAGAGAGAGTCTGGAGGGTGGTCACCCTTAGGCCGGTGGTTTTAAAGGCGAATAGTGAATA